AGCCCTGAGGAGGGCTGTGGGTGTTTGCATCCTCAGCTGCAGACATGTCAGGGTCACCTGTCACACATGCGGGGGTTGCAGCTCTGGTGTTTGCATCCTCAGCTGCAGGCATGGTCAGGGTCACCTGTCACACATGCAGGGGTTGCAGCTCTGGTGTTTGTGTCCTCAGCTGCAGCCATGGTCGTGGTCACCTGTCACACATGCGGGGGTTGCAGCTCTGGGTGTTTGCATTCTCAGCTCCAGCCATGGTCAGGGTCACCTGTCACACATGCAGGGGTTGCAGCTCTGGTGTTTGCATCCTCAGCTGCAGCCATTGTCAGGGTCACCTGTCACACATGCAGGGGTTGCAGCTCTGAATGTTTGCATCCTCAGCTGCAGCCATGGTCAGGTCACCTGTTACACATGCGGGGGTTGCAGCTGTCAGGCCTAGAGTGCCAGGACCCTTGTATTTTAAGAAAGATTTCTTTTGCATTATTTTTAATTAAGTATAAATGTTTGTGTCTATGTGTGTTTGTGTATTTGTGAGAGCAGTTACACGTGTAGGACAAAAGAGGGCGCCAGATGCCCTGGAGCTGGAACTGAGGTCAGCTGAAGAGCTGTGGTTCCTCCACAGGAGCAGTGTGCCTCTTACCCACTGCGATGCCTCTCCAGCCCCAGGAGCCTTGACTCTACAAGCTTGGTGGCGTCCAGATCTCATCTGGTGACTTGGGTCTGCTGTTTCTCATTGTTGGCTCTTCATGTCTGTCTGTCTTTCTTTTGCCCAGTTTTCTGTCTACTCTCATCCTCCCTTTGTTTTAGCTATCCCCCGGTGTCTCTGTCCTTGTGATCTGCCCTGGGCACACCCCTTTGTCCGCCTCTTTTTACTTCTGCTGCTGTTGGTGTCTGTATTCACATCAAGGTTCTCTAGGGAAACAGAATTTATAGACTGAGAGTTAGAGAGAGAAGCAGAGTCAGAGAGAGAGAGAGAGAGAGAGAGAGAGAGACAGAGACAGAGGGAAAGAGAGAGAGGCAGAGAGAGACTTAGAAAGAAAGAGTCACAGAGAGACACAAATAGGGGAAGGAAAGGTATTTCTTTGAATGACTTACAGACTGTGGTCCTGGCAATCCAAAAATAGTTGGGTGTGAAAAGAAAACCCAAGGATCCAGAAGTTTCTCAGCCCCCGAGGCTGTCTGTCTCAGCTGGTCCTCAGTGTGTGATGGAATCCCCTGGAGAAGTCGGCTCTGATGCAGGGAGGAATGGACTTACTCGCAAGAGGAAAACCAGCAGGGAGAGATCAGACGCTTCCTTCCTCCCTGTCTTTACCTAGGTTTCCAGCATAAGGTGGGGCCCAGATTAGAGGGGGGGTTTTCCAAATCAGATGATTTGGGTTAAAGGTTTGCCTTCCCACCTCAAGACCAAGGTGAGAAGTGTGGCACACACCCTCAATCCCAGAACTCTAGCTGCAGAGTCAGGCAGATCTCTGAGTTCAAGGCCAGCCTGGTGTATAGAGTGAATTCCAGAGCAGACAGGGCTACACAGACAATCCTGTCTTGAGAAAGAAAACAATCAAAAACAAAGACACAAAAAATGAAGAGGATCTTCCTTCTTACTTCAATTTTAGCAAAACTCCCTTAGAGGTGTACCCTCAATGTTTTGGTTTTGCTTAATTCCAGAAGTAGTCAAGTTGAGGAACAAAACTAGGCACCATAGTGTCCCTGCCAACAGGCTGATGCAGTCTTCATCACCTCAGAGGACGTGGGGTCAGTTCCCAGCACCCACACGGCTGCTCACACTTTTAGCTTCTGATTCTGTGACAACTAGGTACACACGAGGCACACACGAGACACACACGAGACACACACGGGACACACATGAGACACACACGAGACACACACGGGACACACACGAGGCACTCACGAGACACACACGGGACACACACGAGGCACACACGAGGCACACACGAGACACACACGAGACACACACGAGACACACACGAGACACACACGAGACACACATGAGACACATGAGACACACACGAGACACACACGAGACACACACACATGAGGCACACACGAGACACACACGAGACACACATGAGACACACACAAGACACACACGAGACACACAGGAGACACACAGGAGGCACACACGAGACACACGTGAGACACACACGAGACACACGTGAGACACACACGAGACACACACGAGACACACACGAGACACACAGGAGACACACACGAGACACACACGAGACACACAGGCGACACACAGGAGACACACACGAGGCACACACGAGACACACACGAGACACACGTGAGACACGACACACACACGAGACACACACGAGACACACATGAGACACATGAGACACACACGAGACACACACGAGACACACATGAGACACATGAGACACACACATGAGATACACATGAGACACATGCACAAACATAAGAAGATATGAATGCATATTGAATAAAAATAAAGATTTTAAAACCATTCTTCATCTGTTTTATATGTGTGCGTGGGTGTGAGGGCAGGGAAATGAGACCTGTGGTGCCCATGTCGTGGCTCACACACAGGAGTCGTGTGATGGTGGAGTCAGTGCTCTCCGACCTTATGTGGAGTCAGCAATGAAACTCAGGTTGTCAGAGTTGGTGGCCAGGGCTTCTATAATCTGCTAAATCATATCCACCCCTTCTTTCGCTTTGTTGTGGTTTCTTTTCTCTATTTCTTTCTTTTTCTTTTCTCTCTACAGAGCTGTCCTGAAACTCAATACTTAGAGCGGGCTGGACTCAGGCAGACAGAGGTCCATCTGCTCTGTCTGTGCTGGTGTTAAAGTGTCTGCCGCCTCACAGCCTCTCACCTTCTGAGACTGCATTCACACAGCTCAGGCTGGTTTGAACTCTCTGTCAAGGACCAGCCTCAATAAAATACTTCTTAGAAGATAGGGGCATGAAAATTGAAGCAATATAAGCAAATAATTTGAAGATGAATTAAAATAATACAACAGAAATTATAGAAAGTGTTGGGAGGGCATTTCAGTTAAAAATTCTGAAGTTTTACCAGCATTTATTTTTTATAGCTTTTATATTTAATATAAATGGGGGCGAGAAGGTAACAAAGGCTTTATTAACGTGATACAGAGGATAACTCACACAGTCAATGGCTTTATCACTCTGAGACATCAAATCATCAGCATTTTGTTGTCTAGGTAGCAAAGGAGGTCTAGGTCACATATGCTGAAGACTTCCCTTCCCTAGCTGACCTTATAGTTACTGAAGAAGGAGCAGAAGCACATTTGCATATCCTGACCACCTGTCAGGATGGTATGTAGCTATCTTAATTTCAAAAGAACCAGGCAATCAACTCCACCTCCTGAGTTAGGATGTGCAACTATGCCTGTCAAATCTCCAAACTCTCTGACCCTCAGACAAGGTGGAAATGGGCCTGCATTTTCAGCCTCCACAACTCTCTGTGTAGCTGTGGATGTCCCTGAGTTCCTGATCATCCTGCCTCTCCCTTCTGAGCACTGAGAGGGCAGGCCTGCCTCACTCCACAGCCTCAGGATCACGTGTCCACCAGCACAGCCAGCTGTGGCTTCAGTACCAGTGCTTATGGTCACTGCAGCTGATGTGACCACGGTGCCCTGGGAGAGGACACAGTGGACAAGCGGTCAGGCCAGTTAGTGTCCACTCATGCTGTCTGATCTGCTCCTGGTCATAGTCTCTCCTCCTCTCCCCCAGGGAAGGTATAGACTGGGGACCCAGGAGGAGATAAGGTTTATAACATCAAGGCACCTGGAGTCCAAAGTTCCTTGCAGGTTCCTGCTGAGTCTGCGCTGTGTGGAGTGGGGGTTGGGTGGGGCTGGGGATGACTGAGTCTGTGCTGTGTGGAGTGGGGTTGGGCGGGGCTGGGGATGACTGAAGGTGTGGATTCTGTGCCAGCCTTGCTTTCTTTCCCTAAATCTGAAGTTGTTTTCAAGGGGCTGGAGAGAAGGCTCCGTGGTTAGGAGCCCTTGTTGGCCCAGTAGCCACATGGTGTCCCGGAACCATCTGTAACTCTAGGTCAAGCAGATGGGGTGGGCACCGGGAGGACAGGTTTCTGAACGACCTACCTTCCCCTCATGTTAGTAGTTCCTGGAGCTGGAACAGCGCCCATGACATCGTCTCTGTCCGCAGCTGTGACTGGGCTGACATAACTCTGGTGAGTCCAGCCCAGCTCCTGATGCTGAACAGAGATTCAGCGAGGATTCCTTCCCCTTCTCTCACCCAGAGCATTTCCTTACAACATGTAGGCCTCAGCCTTGTGTGTCAGCATTTCATTTGCATTTTAATAAAGAAAGCTTTCCTGAAGATCAGAGAAGAAAACAGCCCCACTGGTCAGCCTTACAGCCTTACAGACCAGGCAGTGGTAACACAACCTTTAGCTGCCATAGAGACCGGGAGGGAGGTGCATGCCTTTAATTCCAGCGGTGCACGACTTTAACCTAAGCCCAGAGAGGATTATAACACAGGGGGAGACAGCTCTCAGCCTCAGTCCCATTCTGAGGTCCTGGAGCAGGATCGCCATTCTCCACCTGAGGTTGAGGTAAGAACAGTCTGACTGCTTTGCTTTTCAGATCTTCAGGTGAACCCCAGTTTCTCTCTCTGAGTTTCCATTAATCGTGCTTCGCTCAGGAATCTCCCCAGCAGGCAGGGTTGTTGGTGGCAGAGTGGGCTGGAGTGGGGTGGTGAGATGAACTTTCACCTCTTCCTGACAGAGAAAGGAACAAGCAGAAGGCACACACACCCTGTTCACATCAGCTTTCAGTTTCGGTGTTCCCATTGCTCTACTGACTGGGAACGCTCTGCTGGAGCCGGCTGGGACAAAGCCTCTGCAGAGGCCATGACAGCTCGTGCCAGGCTCTGCTTCTTGTCTGCTGGCCTAGGAACCATGACTCTGATGGAGATGTGGAAAGCAGAGCCTGGCGTTGGGGAGAGCCGAGCTTAGCCCTCTGAGAGCACTGTGGAGCAGGGCTGAACTCCGGGAGGAAGATCTGGGGTCTGCTAAGTCCTCTAGGATCTTGAACCATCCCCCATGCAGCCAAGTCCTTTCAAAGCTGCGAGCAAAGAGAAGCAGGTATGTTTGCTCTGAAGATACCTGGAGCCTGAGGAAGAAACCAGAGAGGAGTTTATGTTAGGTGAGTCTCAGCAGGTCACGTGCCTGGTGACTGGGCCTAGAGACACCTTCAAATCTTCTAAGGAGTTTGTCCTTCTCAGGCCTTTAGGCTGTCCCCTCCCCTAACCTTCTGAAGAGCGGTGATTGGGGCAGACTAGGGTTTATTCATGTTCTTTTCAAGCCTGTCTGTACCACACAGGGTCTTTATCAAGGACAGAGAGAGGAGGATAAACCTGTTTGTGGGACGTGTGTGTGTGTGTGTGTGTATGTTTTTGTGTATGTGTGTGTGTGTGTGTGTGTGTGGCACCTGCCGAGTGTGGGGTGATGTCCTGAAACCATGGCAGGGACTGTGCTGGGACTGAAGTGTGGAAAACTCCACAACCAAGAGCTCGTCCAAAGCCCTCGTGATGGGCAGCACAGCCTCCTCGGGGACACGTCTGTCTCTGGAGCTGCCCAGATGACGCCTGGTCACAGTTATGGAACAACAGAAGCACAGGAGGTGGCCATGCTGTTCCCGAGGGAGGGGTGGGCACAGGCTCCGTGTCTGGGGTCACAGGCAGTGTGGACGTGGAGAGTGGGATTGACGGTGTCCCCTCTGGGCTCTCCTCAGGGTGCTGAGAGGGCAGGGCCTGGGTTCTGGGTAGAGCCTGGCTGCACTGTGGCTGGGCATGGGGTGGAAAGGAAGGAATGACTTCCTCTCAGAGGACTTGGATGTCCCCAGCTCTCCAGTTTTGTTCTGCGTGGCTGGGAGGAACCCGGGCATGGGTGTTTGCCTGGTAGTGTAGACGTGTTTTGTCCAGTGGGGCTCACACCAGCCCTGATGATCTTCTCCCTGCTCAGGTGTCCAAGCTCAGTGTGGAACCTGCCTTCTGCTGCAGCCAAGGGTCTTGGTCTCCCCACCTGTGTCTCCCTGGCTCCGAGGACATGGACAAGTGCTGCAAGCATGCTCTGCTCCGCTGTGTGACCTGCCTGTTTGTCCTTGCACAGCTGCTTACCCGGGCGTCCACAGGTGAGTGTGCTCTGCTCTCTCTCTCCCATGTCTCCCTGCGGTGATCGGGATCTGCCACGACCAGGCTGCTCAGATGTGCACAGACTCATTAATACTGGGACCCAGGGGTTGTCTAGTATTCCATTTACAGTGAGTTACTAATAAGATCTAGGCTGAGCCTGCTTGCATGAGCGTTCGAGAGGCTGGGAATGGAAAATTGTGAGTCCTCGCCCAGCCTGCGCACAGCAACCACACCCTACCTGGGGAGCAGAGCTGGGATCACAGCCTTGGAGCTGGCAGTGTGCCAGGGGTGTGAGGAGCTGCAGAGGCCAGGGTTGGCTGAAGCAGAGTGAGCCAGGCAGAGAGAAGCAGGGGCTGAGGGTGGGAGGTCCTGCAGGGGTGAGGGTGGGAGGTCCTGCAGCAGATGGCACCCTCAGTCCCAGTATCACAGTCCTTCTGGGCTAGAGGGCCAAGGGCACTCAGACTGAGGCAGCCATCTTTCTTCTTTATCAAAAAGCTATTGGGATTCCAGGTAGTGCTGGGTGATTTTTCACAGAAGTACCCTTTGCCTCCATGTATTGGGTGCTTTTTCCAGAAAGTTTGACTGTGTGCCCCCTTCATGTCTGATACCACAGAGTCTAGAAGACTGTTACAGACAGTCATGAGTGCTGGTAATGGAACCTGGGTCCTCTGCAAGTGGAATTAGTGTTCTTGGCTGCTCAGCCCTCTCTCCAGGCCTTTGCTCTGTGTCTTAAGGTTCACGTATAATTCAGTGGAGGAAGATGTGCGCTAATACAGTGAATGCAGGGCTGGAGGTTATGAGTTTCCTGTGTGTGGTCTAAAACAGACCAGGTAGAACTATGTTTCTCAAGGTGTGCTCTCAAACCCAAGGTGTGAGCATCTGCAGGGATTTTACAAAGGCAGGATCTTGGCCCAGCCCAGACCTACTCAAGCCTGAGCTCTGGGCTGTGACCCAGTTACCTGAAGGGCACCTAGGACTAGGTACACGCATGCTGGAGAGGGAACTCATGAGAGGTTTCCTAATGGAAGGGTCTGGGGCCAGGGGCACAGGCAGAATGGGGAGTCTCTCTCTCTCTCTCTCTCTCTCTCTCTCTCTCTCTCTCTCTCTCTCAGACAGGGTTTCTCTGTAGCTTATGAAGCCTGTCCTGGAACTAGCTCTTGTAGACCAGACTGGCCTCGACTCACAGAGATCGGCGTGCCTCTGCCTCCCGAGTGCTGGGATTAAAGGCATGCGCCACCACTGCCTGGCTCTGAAGATCTCTTGTACATTAACCATAGATGCCTAACCCACAATGCCTAGAGCAGCCTCATCCTGCCTCTGCCTCCTGGTCCCAGGACATTCCGTGTCATAGTGGGTGTTCTCTGCTTTAACCTGTGTCTCTTCAGTCCTCTCACGGTGACATCTGTGTCCACAGAGCAGTTCCGGGTGTTGGGTCCCTCAGACACCATCGTGGCTGCTCCAGGAGGGGAAGCCATACTTCCCTGCTCCCTGTCTCCAGCCATGAGTGTGGAGAAGATGGAGCTCAGGTGGTTCCGCTCCAAATTCTCAGAAGCAGTGTTTGTCTATCGGGACCAACAAGAGCAGAAGCAAGAGCAGATGGCTGAGTATTCAGGACGCACCTCGCTGGTGAAGGACCAGTTCCACCAAGGCAAGGCTGCTGTGCGAATCGGAAATGTCCAGGTCTCAGACAGAGGGATGTATGTCTGCTTCTTCAGACAGGGTCTCTTCTATGAAGAGGCCATCTTGGAGCTGAAGGTGGCAGGTTGGTTAACTGATTCCTGTTCTAAAGATGTTGGGGGTCCTGTGTGTGGGAGGAAAGTAAGGGATAATGTCACTCAGCTCCCTAATTTATTTTTGAGCAATGTCTTCTGTAGACCAGACTGTGGTTAAGCCAGCCGTGTAGTGGAGGGTGACTTTGAACGTTGGATCCTCCTGCTTGTTCCTAGTTCTGGGCTCACAGGCATGCTCTGCCATACATGGCTCTGGGCCATCATTGTTATTTCTATTTATTTTTTAGTTTTTTTTTTTTGAGATGAGAAATAGGTGATACATTCTTCTATAGGTTAAGTCTATCTAAATTCTATATGTGTAGTCCCTAAATGTACTGGGCCTTGTTCTGGGGACCAGGGATCCAGCCAATGTCATGGTAAACACCAGATGTTAGATTTCATATTTTAGAGGCGTAGGCAGAAAAAGTCAGAGAGCTCCAAAGAGACGTCAGTGAGAAATGATCCATGCTTTAGACAAATGATCGGGTAGAGGAAGGGAGGGCGTTCAGGGCTTCCCTGGGTGGAGCTGGGTGTCCTGCTCTCCTGGGGGTCACAGGTGTGTGGAGAATGGGGAGACGGAGTGACGGTTTCTACCTCAGGGCTCTGGGTTCAATGTCCTTCAGTTTCCTCTGGGTCTTGTGGTTGATAGAAGAATGACCCGTGCCCTCTTTCCCATAGCAGTGGACACTGTTATTTTTCTGCTGTTGAGCAATGGGGGCAAATCCTGGTCCCAGCCCTGGAGGGCTTTCCTCTTCAATACCTGTGTTTCCCATGAGAGGTTCCTATGAGACGCACAGGTGATCCTGGGGTCCCTGAGCCTAAAGTGCCTTCTACGGTCCTCACATGTGTCCTCCTGCAGGGATGGGCTCTGTCCCTGAAGTGCACATCAAAGGTACAGAAGATGGTGGTGTGTGTGTGGTGTGCAGTGCTTCAGGGTGGTACCCAAAGCCCCAGGTGCAGTGGAGAGACTCCAGTGGGGAGAATCTCCCAGCATCCTCTGAGACCCACACTGAAGATGCTGCAGGTCTGTTCAGCATGGAGAGCACATTGGTGGTGAGAGACAGGTCCTTGTGGAGTGTGACCTGCTCCACCTTCAATCCCATCCTGGGTCAGGAGAAGGCCATAGCCATGTTCATCCCAGGTGAGAGTTGTTCCTCACTCCTACAGAGCTCGGGAAGTGGATAGCCTTTCTGGAGTGTGCTGGGCTGTCTGTCCTCAGGTGTGCCCCTCACTGGCTCTCTGCCTGGGCCACAGAGCCCTTCTTCCCTCAGGCTTCTCCCTGGATGCCAGCTTTTGCCGTGAGCATGACCGTGATGGGACTTCTAGTCCTAGGATCTTGCTGTTTTCTCATATGGGAGCAGCATGCAATGCTGCAGGCGCATCAGGTACTGGAGAATCTGCGGCGCGAGCAGGAGAAGTGTCAGAAGACAACGGAGCATGCGCTGCAGACAACATGTAAGTCCTGATGGCAGTGAAGGACTGGCCAGAGTCTCCAGGAAGATCCAGGGTTCTGGGATCAGAGTAGGTGGCCCCGAAGCTCCGAGAGCAGGGCTGGAGTCCTGGGGTCAGCTGGGCTCTAGTGCAGACTAGTAGGAAACAACATTGTTTCCTGTTTTTCTGCCAAGTGCACAGCTCCTGTCTTCTCACTGTTTTTTAGGCATACTCCAGGAGGAGCTGGGTGAGTCACACTTTTCTTCCTGAGCCCTATGTGTCCCCTCGTGCTTTTCCTCCTGACTCTGTGTCCCCTTAGTAGCCCAGCAGCTCACTTGAGTCCTCATGTTGTTTTTCAGATCGGAGGAAGGCAGCTTATATGGCTGGTGAGTGACTGCCCCAAAGTCCCAAGGTTCCCTGTGCACATGCGCCCAGGGATGCCCTCTCCTTGATTCTAGGCAAAATGGGAACCCCTTGAGGGGACAGAAGTGTAAGGTTCTGGGAAGGGGAAGCCTGTCCCATGGGCTTTTCCAGATTTCTGCTCAGAGCTGGAAGACCTGGGTCTCTGGATGTGCCCTGTGCCCCGGGTCTTATCCCACCAATGCCTGTCGTCTGTATTGTTGACTTTTGTCTCCATTAGCCCTGGACTATTGCCTGCCCTGGGGGCCAAACAACAGGGTTAAACTTTCAGTGAAGATGCAGGCAGGAACCTGGGGCAGGAACTGAAGCAGGGACCACAGAGAACAACCGCTTGCTGTCTTGCTCCCAATGGCCTGCTCAGCCTGCTTGCTGGTCCTCTCCGGGATCCCCTTCCTAGTACTGACATTGTCTACAGTGGGCTGACCCCTTCTACAATAATCCTAAACCATGATAACGCCCCACAGCGTTGCTTGCAGTGTTTTTATGGGGGCATTTTCTCAGCTGAGTCTCCCTCCTCTCAGATGACTCTAGCTTGTGCCAAGTTGACACAAAGCTAACCTGCAGAAGATGTTTATAAGTGAATCAGGTCACAGACCCTGGAGTGTGACCTCCACTCATTCCACAGTCATCCCCCAGGGAGTCTGTTCCCTCAGCTCTGAAGGTGTTGATCAAAGTGATGGGCAGAGCCAGGGCTGCGGATCTGAGTGGGAAGGGATGGTGAGCTGGGTGCCCGTGGAATAGTGGTGCCCTGCTGTAGAGATATTTCAGCGTCCATGAGGAACAGTGGGCACTTCACCCAGAACTCACTTCCTGTCCATGTACACACATTCTTCTTTTCAGCACATCTCCAAATCCACCTTTCCAAAAAGTGCTGATGTCATCATGGTTTCTGATAACTATTGAATAATTGTATTTTATTCTCTAAGATTTTTTCCTATATTGTAAGGTTTTAATTAAGAGTGAAACTGAATAATTATAGATTGTTACTACTGCTACTACTACTACTATTTAAAGCTTTGATTTTTGGAGTAGAGGGAGCCGGTTGAGTGTTTAAAAGCCACACAGATTAGGGACAATGGGAGATTAGCCTTACAGCACCATCGTTCTTATCCCTGGTCCATGTAATTTCCCCAATTCTCCTGCCCCTGCATCTTGCAGGAGCCAGCTCCCTGGGGTCCTCTTTCCTCCTAGGTAAACCTCACCTTTAGAATGGAGGGAGCATGGGTTGGTGGACTGTTTGAGTGGGCTGTTCTGATTGGTTCTCAGGAGAATATGTTCCTTTGCAGCCTGGAGGAAGGCCCAGCTGTATGCAGGTGCGTGACTATGGAGACTGCTGTCCTCTGGGCAGAACACGGGTCTTAGGGTTTCCCCTAAGTGAGGAAAAGCAGCTTGAGGAGGAAAGTTTGTGTGACTCACACTTCCAGTCCACACCACAGCAAGTCAAGGCAGGAAGTCACACAGGGCAGGATGTGGAGTTCGGAGTGAATGCAGAGTTCATGGAGGATTGCTGGGTACCGCATTAGCCACCCGGCTTGTTCTGTTTCTTTTCCCATGTTCCTATGACCACTGTCCATGGGATGACACAGCCCACCACGGGCTGCATTCTCCAGTTTGAACTATCAATCATCTATCAACCAAGAGAATTCCCCATGGGCTTGCCTACTGGCCAATCCTATGGAAGCATTTTCTCAGTTAATATTTCTTCTTCCCAGATGACCCTACCTTGTGCCAAGCTGGCACAGAAGCTTGTCAGCACAATGTAGCCATTGTCCTTGGAGCTGTCAGAGCAGTGACTGCCCAAAGGACACATGCACAAGACTGGACACATTAGGAGAGAGGAGTCACACGGCCTGCCCTTGCCAAGATGTTTTTTCTCTCTCACTCTGTGTGTGTTCTGTAAGTGTGTGTGTGTGTGTGTTCTGTAAGTGTGTGTGTGTGTGTTGTATGTGTGTGCACGTGTATGTGTGTGTGCTGACATGAGTGTGGAGGTCAGAGGACAACTTCCAGAAGTCTTTGCTTTCTTTCCATGAAGTGGTTCCCCGGGATCAATCTCAGGTTGTCTGGGTTGGTGACAAGCACCATTATCCTTGCTACGTCATCTCTGTTACCCTCTCTATGGGGCAGATGAAGGGGGCCTGGGGAGGCCTCATAATCAGGCTCTTCCCCAGTTCATATGTAGACAGTTCATGGCTGTTGGGGGAGAGGGATTTTTTTCTTTAGTGTTGGGGTCGCTCATCCATGGCTCATGCTTCTCTATGGAACCCTGATGAAGGCCATTGTGTCTGTGTTCCCACGCTCTGTGCTCATGTGGACTTTCCTCTGATCTGTCGTTGGTACCCTGTCCCTGTGCACAGACATGTGTGCACCTCACACAGCACCGGCTCTCATGTTTCCTCACCTTCTCCAGCTCCCGTCATCCTCTTCTCTGTGTGTGCACGTGTGTCCCCACCCACTCTCTGGCAGGATGAGGTGAGTGTCCTTCTGTCCTTGTCAGTGCTGGCCTCCATCAGAACACCACAGGGAGCCTCCTCGGGCTCACAGAACGCATTCTGGTTTGTCCTATGGTGTAAGTCATTGTCAGCATCAGCATGGCCCAGTCTGCAGTCACCTGGTTCGGTGGACATCTTCTAGGAGCAGCGTTAGTGGCCAGTTTAGCTTTGCGTAGAGACTGGTGAAGGGTCACAATGACTCTGTGGATCAGAATTATTGCTTTCAGGAAGATTCCAGAAGTCAGGTCAGGCAGCATGGGATTCATGTCTCACTAAGATAGTCTTTAGTTCCATGTCCTCCTTAAATTTGGGATTCCTTGCAGGACAGTGCTGGTGCACACATTCAACCCCAGCACTCAGGAGGCAGAGGCAGGGGGATCTCTGTGAGTTTAAGGCCAGCCTGTTCTACAGAGCGAGTTCCAGGACAGGCTCCAAAGCTACAGAGAAACCCTGTCTCAAAAACAACGAAAGAATGAATAAATGAAAAGTTGGATTCCTTGTGCTTTTGTCTCAGTTTTCACAAAACTCTTTTTCTTCTTAGTCCTCTGGTCTCTTGGTGGTGTTCTCCCTCTCTCTCTCTCTCTCTCTCTCTCTCTCTCTCTCTCTCTGTGCTTTGTGTTCCCTGCTGGATTCCTTCTCCAGAGCACCTGGCTGCTCAGGGTTTGGGTGTTTAGACCAGGTGTTCTGAGTTGGTGTTCGGTGCTTCCAGGATGCTTGTGGGTTTGCTGAGGCCTGTGTGATCCACTCGAAATTATACATGACTTTCTGTAGTCTTTACATTACGTGAAATAGTGTGCAACTTAGAATTTCTCACAAGCATGTGTGTGTGTGTGTGTGTGTGTGTGTATGTATGTGTATGAACATTTTGCCTGATTACATGTCTGTGTGCCATGTGCAAGCCTGGTTTTGTTGGAGTTCCAATGAGTGCGGTTTATTCCCCGGAACTTGAGTTACAGATAGTCATCAGGATTCATGTGAGTGCTGGGAACTGAACCTGGGTCCTCTGCGAGACCATCCAGTGCTTTCAAGCACTGAATCCTTTTCTGTTGTTTGTGGTTCTGTAAGATCAAGCCAGGACCTTGCAGGCACTGAGCTGTGGCGTGCCATGCATGCTGTTGTTTTTCTGAGACAGGATCTCACTATGTAGCTCAGGCTGGTCTCAAACTCAAGGATCCCCTGCTTCATCAAGTCCCCCACTCCCTGTCTTGGTAATTTTCATATTCAACGATGTCCGTCTTCCAGGATGGTTGTGTGTCTGGGCCCTGACAAGCCATAGTGAGAGGATGAGCCCTACATTGCCCTTCTGCCTTTATTAGGGCAGATATTAAGTTTCATTGGTCAGATCTTTATGGGAAGACTAGGGCAGGATGAGTTTGTGTGTGTGTGTGTCTGTGTGTGTATGTGTTTGCATGTTTATGTGTGTCTCTGTGTGTCTCTCTGTGTGTATATTTGTGTGTGTTTATGTGTGTATGTGTATTTGTGTGTGTGTGTATGTATATGTTCGTTCAGCAGGTACATTGTCCCCACAACTCCCAGGTCTGTGTTTCATGAGACAGCTGCTGACCGGATGGGTACAGTGTCTGAAACCCCTCACATGACCTGTGCTTCTCTTGTAGATTGGCACAGGGAGCACTTCCAGTCCTGTGAGTGACTCTGGTCCTTAGGGACACTCCTCCTGCTCTTCCCATGGCTCTGGTCCCTCCTTCAGCTCCTGTGGTGACAACCTCAGTGGTGGTGGTCTGGGAGGCAGAGGGGATGCTCACTAAGCTTGGTCTGGTTCTCAAGGGCCCTGTGACCTTGTAACCCCTAGACGGCCTTTTGTTCCCTTCCCCTGCTTACCAGTCATGGTCTTGAGCAACAGGCTGTTCTGAGAGGGACTTGTCTCCCTAGAAGAAGCTAAGAGACTTTGAGGTGGAGGTGGGATGGCAGAGGCCTTGTTTAGGGGCTGGAGAGGACCTCCCATGATTGGTAACTCTCCTGCAGGGTATGTCATTCTGGATCCAGACACTGCCCACCCCATCCTCGCCATCTCTCAGGACAGGAGGCATGTGACCCGGAAGGATACCACTCTGTGCCTGGATGACCTCTTCTGTGTGTTAGGCATGGAAGGCATCTCCTCCGGAAGACGCTACTGGGAGGTGGAGATAAGGAATGGAGACAGCAGCAAGTGGACTCTGGGGGTCTGCAGGGAAGATGTGGAGAGAAAAGGCTTTTATTCAGAGTGTCCCCAAAAGGGGTTTTGGACTGTGGGGCGGTCTAGCAGTGGATACTGGGCCTATATTGACAGTGGGAGGGCCTCATTATCCTTTAGGCATGCTCCCCAGCATGTGGGGGTATTTGTGGACTACAGCGAAGGCGACATTTCCTTCTATAACATGAGTGAGATGTCCCACATTTTCTCCTTCCGTGAAGCTTCCTTCGCTGGGACTCTTTTCCCATACTTCAGGCTCAAGTCCGGAGATGTTTCAATGATTCTTAGCTCCTTGGAGCATGACTCTGAGGGGGAGGGAGGGGAGGAGAAGGGAAGAAGGAGGAAGGGGAGGAAGGGGAGGAGGGGGAAGAGGAAGAAGAGGGAGAAGAAAGGGAAGAGGTTATTTTTGCCTTTTTTGAAGGAGTCTGGGAATCCTCCAGGGGAGGGGCTCACCCCAGGCTCTGGAGTTGTTGACTCTCCCCCAGGGGAGGAATCCCCATTCCTCCCTCATCCTGGTGACACTTTGCTCCCATAGTGCAGTTCACTGTGTGTCCTTGTGAGACTCCAGAAGTCACAGGCTTTCTTTGGGTCACCAACCAGCTCCCAAGTCCTGAATGGGGACTTGGCATTTATTGTGGATGCTTGGCCTTATCTTGTACTTGCCGTACTAGCTCTCATTGCTTAGATTAGCCTGTTTCTCTTCATCTCCGCTTTGCCTCAGGACCTTTTACCTTTCTTTCCTTTTACATATCCTGCTCTGTGTGTGTCTGTCTGGTGGCTGCCTGGCTGCCCCGTGGCGTCCCCCTCTCTTTCTCCCTTGTTCTCTTCTCCCTTCTCCCCTGAGAACCCTGTAGATTCTTCCTCCTCCTATTCTCTCTGCCCACCAGCTCTGCCCATCCCTCTACTGCTTAGCTATTGGGTGTTCAGCTTTTTACTCAACCCATCAGATGCCTTAGGCAGGTGAAGTGAAGCAGCAACACAGCTTTACACTGGACTGCTGGTCCCGGTGCTATAAACTGACGAGCTGAGCAAGCGGTGGGAGAAAGCCAGGAAGCAGCCTCCTCTAAGGCCTCTGCACCAGCTCTGCCCTGCCTGAGTTCCTGTCCTGACTTCCTTTGAGGATGGACTGTGGTCTGGAAGTGTATTGAAACAAACCCTGTCCTCTCCTTGTTGCCTATGTTTGTCATGGTGTTTACCACAGCACAGAAGCCCTAGCTGAGGCGAGGTGCCTATGGCTTCTTTCTGGGAAATGTGTTGTAGAGGCCAGAAATCAAAGCTCCTCATGTGTGAGGTCCTGGGTTCAGTCCTCAGGATTGTAAAGTAAAACAAAGGACCACCCGAAGTAGACGGATTTATTAAGTTAAAGCATTTCTGGTTTATTAGTGCTTGTTTCTTCAAGCAGAGTTTGAAAAATTATCTCCTCTGAGCCAAATTGTGTTTGACTGTTTTTTTGTGTGTGTGTAGGTATGTGCTGTGAACTGTTGTAAACATTTATTTAATGTAAAATGTCAAATAGTACTTTGTGCTATGAGTAAAGATGAAATTCAAATTTGAATATCCATAAATAAAGTTTTATTGGAACACAACAGTGTTCACTCATTTGTATAGTATGTATGGCTGCCTTGGTGCCCACAACCGAGCTGTTGTGATGGTATAAGCAGACAAGAATAAGTATTTGTTCTCTTATAAAAAATTTAACTGGCCTCGACAAGGTATTTTATTTAGTAATGAAATAATAATTACAAGGTAATAATTTTATTTAGTAATTCTACTGACCCTTGTAGAGTAAAAACTGTTGTGGGAAAGCTGGATTCCTGGTTGCACAGAGTAAGGTGTGCACAGCATCTGGACCAGCGTCTCCTCCTACAGATGCTCAGGCTGGGCACAGTGTCCAGCCTTCCTCCCCACAGAGTAAGGTGTGGACAGCATCTGGACCAGCGTCTCCTCCGACAGATGCTCAGGCTGGGCACAGTGTCCAGCCTTGCTCCCCACAGAGTAAGGTGTGGACAGCATCTGGACCAGCGTCTCCTCCTACAGATGCTCAGGCTGGGCACAGTGTCCAGCCTTCCTCCCCACAGAGTAAGGTGTGGATAGCATCTGGACCAGCGTCTCCTCCTACAGATGCTCAGGCTGGGCACAGTGTCCAGCCTTGCTCCCCACAGAGTAAGGTGTGCACAGCATCTGGATCAACGTCTCCTCCGACAGATGCTCAGGCTGGGCACAGTGTCCAGCCTTCCTCCCCATCAGTCCTTTCGGGAGCTGTGGGAGGGAGGGGACTGCAGAGTGAGGGGACAATGGAGGACAAGATGGAGGGGTGGAGAGGGTGGGGAGGTGAGGGTTGGAGGGAGAGAAGAGCTTTGGGGTGTTGTGGGGGGTGGACGAGGAGTGGGTGGAGGTCGTCTGGGTCAGAATGAGGCTGTCTGTGCAGAAGAGGACGTGGGAGTGAGGAGAGGGAGCTGGAGGATTGTTGGCAGCCGAAGGCTCTGTGCTCTCGCCCTCAGCCACACTTTCTGCCGGCGGTTTATGTGAAGAGGCTTGCTCTCTCTGCCTTGCTCTCTCTGCCTGCTGGCTTTCACTCTTGCCGGCAAGTCCGTTCCTTTACTGGCCTCAGAGCCTGCTTACTCGGGATTCGGTGTATACTGAAGACCAGCTGAGACACTCAGCCTCGTGGACTGAGCAACTGCTGGATTCTTGGACTTTCCGGTGGGAGACAACCATTGTGGGACCCCAGCCCATAAGCCACTCTAGTAAACCCTCTTCTCTTTATAGACCTTCATTCTCTAGGTTTCTCTAACACGGGGACCTTGACTCAGGCCAGGTCTAGGTCATGGCAGAGCTATTATGAAGCAGAATTGGAGAGTCTTTCAATTTTTTTTTTTAAATATAGGCTTTAGTCACGAGGGCTAGGAGAAAGAGACGCATGCCGGGAAGAGTCTAAGGCACTCTCAAGTACATGGGCCTGGGCTCCTCTAAGAGAGAAAGGAAGACACAGCCCAGCACAATACTGGCTTCTCTAGGGAGTATTGCAGCGAGTGAGGCCTAATTGCTGGTTCTGACGGACAGGTGTTTGTCTCAGCACTCAGCATGTTGGTCCTCAAGTTACATCCCCAAAACGCTACTAAAACACCCTCTCTCTCTCTCTCTCTCTCTCTCTCTCTCTCTCTCTTTTAAAGATGATTTGTCTTTTGAGACAGGGTTTCTCTATGTAACCCTGACTGTCCTGGAACTCAATTCTGTAGGTCAGGGTGGCCTAGAACTCACAGAGATTTCCCTGCCTCTTGAGTATTGTGATTAAAGGTGTGACCACAGGGCAAGATTTATTTTTATGTGTATGGTGTTTTGCCCTGCAGTGCCCACAGAGGACAGAAGAGGGCGCCAGATCCCCCAGAACTGGAGTCTCACATAGTTGTGAGCCTCTGTCCTCTGCAAGAGCAACAAGTGCTTTTAACCCCTGAGCCCTCTCTCCAGTTCACACCCCCTCCTTCCGGTAAGTGAGGTTTTAGTGTGGCTCCGAGATTCCTTGGAGGAGAAAACCAGAAGACAGTAGTGTCGTACAGGGTTTAGTAGGTGTCTCTTCTAGGAAATTGCTGGTTTGTGTCAGGGAAGAGAGAGAGGCCTTTAGCAGCTGGTCATTGCGCTGGACATCTCGCTTAGGCTGAGGACTCAGGAGGGTTCCTGGGTTGAGACCTGAGCGAGCCTGAGGGGAGAATGTGGAGTTAGCTAGGGTGGAGAGGGGGATGAGCAGACACCTGTGCAGAAAGAAACTGAGGCAGACGTTCATAGAAAGGACCAGCCGGAGCAGAAAGCTCAATTGTGGGAAGTTGTGAGTGGAACCTGGCAGGAGGGGCAGATGGTTGGGAGAATGAGGTAGGTCTCTGAGGAGAGAAGGTGGTGTCCAAGGGTTTGGGCGGCTCGGGGGAAATGAGGGAGAGAATGACTTAGTGAGAGAGAAATTGGCGTGGAAAGACACTTGGAGAAGAGAATGGGGGAAACTGAGGGGCCAAGGTGGTGATGGGAACTAGGTGGGGAAGGTGGAGAGGGAGAATTAGGGCCAGGGAAAGGAGAAGAAACAGGGGGAACACAGTGGGAGGGACCTGGGTGGGCGGTAGTGAGGGAATTACTGAGAAGGTCGAGAAGGGAACTGGGAGGAAGGCGGTGATGGGAACCTGGGGGAAGGTATTGAGGGGGCACCAGTGGAAAGGGAAACCAGCAGAAAGCAGTGGCAGGAAGCGTGTGCGGGGCAGCAAGCTGAGAGCAGAAGAGGAGCTGGAGGATGGCGGGGTCTGTCTTGGCAGCGCATCTCCCCATGGAACCCCACTCCAGCCTCTTCTGGCCCCAGGCACAGCTGTGTGCGCGCATGCGCGTATGATATGCGGAGGTCATAGGACAACTTGGAGTAGGTGCTCTCCTTTCCACCGTGTGGGTCCTGGCTTCAGGTTTGGCTGAAGAAGGCAACGTTACCCGTTGAGCCACCAGCCAACTGCTTACTCTCTGAGGCAGGACAGGAAGACAGAAATTAAGAGGACATGAAGGGAAAAAAGAGCCCCTCACAGCTCTGTGTTGGGTTACGTCTCTTGCTGAAGGTAAGTACTTTTCAATTTTTATTTAAAGTATTATTATTATTATTATTGAGATAGAGTTTCACTATGTATGTCTGGCTGGCTTGGAACTGCTGTGTAGACCAGGCTGGCCTTAGAGTCACTGTTGTGTAGACCAGGTTGGCCTCAGACTCACAGAGTGATGCCTCCCTCGGCCTCTGCCTCTCTAGTGCTGGGATTAAGAACATGCCATCACGCAGGCTCTATTTTTACTTTTATTTATCTTTTATGATATGGGTGTTGGCTGCACATCTGTGCACATGTATGCAGTGCCTGAGGAGGCCTGAGGAGGGCGCTGGATCCCTGGGAACTGGAGTTACTGAAGGCTGTGAACTCTGTGGGTACTGGAAGTCAGATCCAGGGCTCTGCGAGCATCCAGTGCTCTTAACTGCTGAGCCACCTTAACAACCCCCACAGCAAAGGATTTTCACATGAGCAGTTGACTTAAGGACTGCCAGAAAAGGGTCTCTAAGTAAGGTTAGTGAGTGACTAGGTGTGCTGGGAATCACAACAGCTATCTCAGTCTCTGTGTGTGTTCTATGCGGATTAAGAATTCCTTTGGTTTTCTTTTAAAACCCAATCTGTGTTTTTTTATTTTATTTTTATTTTAACCACACTACTTTCTCAATTGTAAGACTGCTCGGAGCCCCTCATCGGTTCCTGTAATCTCACTTAAGAAAAGGGCTTCCTTGGATAAGACGATACTATTCCACCTTATTTCCCACTTAATCCATTTGTAGGTCGCCTCTTTGGCGAGCTGCCCACCACTTACCTGCCGGCGGTGTCTTCCCATCTCCTTTGCACAGCCACGAGGTTAACCCCATGAGTCACTTGCCTCAGATACTCAGGAAGCTTTTCAGTTGCCCAGAGAGTAAAGTGTAACCTTAGGTTTGTTTTTAGGAACCTCCTTTCCACCGCCGTTTTCAGAACCCCATGTTAGCCCTGGTGAGTCTCAGCTGGGCACCAGGGTGTGCCTGGGAGCACAGCCTCCTGCTGTGTATCCCTTGCCTTTCTTCTGCTCTCTCTACGTCACGTGTCCACATCTAATCCACTGTTTGTCACGCGTCATTGCTCTCTCCCCATCAAAGGGACAGGGATTTTCCTTTTTTTGAGATTTCTGACCCTTTTATTTCTAAACTCTTACCAGCCTGTCCTTTTAAACTACTTTTGGACGCATTTTAATACTGGCTCTGAGAGATAATTGTGCTTATATTGTCTCTATTTCTGCCATAGACTACTTGGTTGCAGGAAGTCTGACTTTTATTGTCTATGTTTTTTTTTATGACTAATAAAGCATTTGCAGCCACCAAGATCCTAAGGTCAACTGGGTAAGCTAGAGATAAAATACTGTCAAAGGAACTTATCAGATATTTAGTAAAGACATTTTATTTCAGAAAACACCGTCTTTCCTCATTGGATTGTGTATATATTGACTTATAAAGCAAAATTTGGAGGATGAAGTTTGTGGCGGGTAAGTCTAGTAATGGCAAACTTCTGAACAGCAGAAAATCAAGATGTCTAGAGAAAATGGATTTTATAGCCATGATCCACTGGGATTGAGATTCAGCTTATACCCGAAGGTCACAGTGGAGGCTCAGCTTTGCCCTCTCTTTCTCAGTCTTCATTCCCACCTCCCCTCTTCTTCCTACTCTTCCTTTCCATGGGGTATTCACCTTCTCCCTGTTGTCCAAGACTTGCTTCAGATGGTGCTGTGTGTGTCCCTGCTGGGGCTTCTGCTTCGGGTGGCCATGCTGCAGGAGGTGGAGTAGTAGTATTTGTGTATTGGGGTTCCCATGTGACCGATGGGTTGTCCTCAGCTCTCCTTGGCGATTCCTGTCTCTTCAATATTCCATCCTCATTCTTCCTGTTCACGCATTCCCATCTTTTGGGAGCTGGCGGTTCACACCATACGACTTGGGGTACACATTCATTTTCCATTCCTGTGTCAAACCTTACTTGAGATTCTTGTCCTCTTGGAATTTCTGCCTCGCAGCAAATTAGAGATTCTGGTCTCCTTGTAATTCCCATCTGATCGACTACATGGGTCTCACCCTCACACAAGTAGTTCTCTCTTCTTATGTCAGAGTCACACCGGCTTTTCCTGCCCATCCACGACCTGTCTCTCGCCCCCTCGATGCTCTTGACTCTTCGTTTCATCTCTCTCTTGTGCAACGCTGTAAAGGATTCATTAGAACCTACCAGCATTTTCTTCCTCATAGACTCCCTGTTGTAGTCTGAGCAGGCTGTGCCTCCTCCACATTTTAGCATCTGGGCTTTGGAATCTGCTCTTCTGGCAAACCCTCCACACATGTGCCCTGGGAATAGAACTGGGTATACAGAAAAAGTGTGTGATTCAGGTGTCCAGTGTTTCCTATCTCTTTCCCCCAAGACTGACTTTAAAGCCAACAAACACAGTAACTGGAGACATCCCCCCGCAAATATAAAATGATGGAAATCACATAGTACAGATATTACTATGACTTAGATATTAGATAACACAGGTGTTGATAACTAATAAAATACACATATTATTGATAAAATTCTGGATTTTTTCAGTAAGCTAGAAAATGAGAAAAAAGGTAAAATGTGAAGGGAAGGGCTTGTCATTTGTTCAGTGGTCAGGTCTAAAGAAGGGACGGGGCGTGATGAGCTCGGAACTGTGGGAAGAAACAATCATCTCTTAAACGGGAGGAAACCCAAATGCACTGTCCCTGTTGACAAAAAGCATATTTCAGTATGCAGAAGTGGTAACAGCACTAGCTGATCGCGTTTATCCTCTTCTAAGAGCCCACTCTCCATTTGTTTTTAGATTTGTTTGTGTTGAGTGTGTGTTTTTGGTGAAAGTCTACCACACATGTGCAGTGCTCTTGGAGGCTAGAGGAGAGTGCCAGATTCCCTGGAACTGGTGTTATGGATGCCGTGAGCCACTACGTGGGTTTGGGGAACCAGATCCTCAGGAAGAGCAAAGCATAATATGAAATAGCCCAATCCACACAACTGCCAGGATACTGTTGTTTTTTGAGTTCTACAGATGAAGATGAAATGAGTGTCTGGGTGATGCTGATGGTGGTGGGGAGGACAGTGTCCAGGTGATGCTGATGGTGGAGGTGGGGACAGTGTCCAGATGATGCTGATGGTGGTGGGGAGGACAGTGTCCAGGTGATGCTGATGGTGAAGGTGGGGACAGTGTTCAGGTGATACTGATGTTGGTGGGGAGGACAGTGTCCAGATGATGCTGATGGTGGAGGTGGGGACAGTGTCCAGGTGATGCTGATGGTGGTGGGGAGGACTGTGTCCAGATGATGCTGATAGTAGAGGGGAGGACAGTGTCCAGGTGATGCTGATGGTGGAGGTGGGGACAGCGTCCAGATGATGCTGATGGTGGAGGTGGGGACAGCGTCCAGGTGATGCTGATGGTGGAGGTGGGGACAGTGCCAGATGATGCTGATGGTGGAACTGGGGACACTGTCCAGGTGATGCTGATGATGGTGGGGACAGCGTCCAGGTGATGCTGAGGGTAGAGGTGGGGACAGTGTCCAGATGATGCTGAGGGTGGAGGTGGGGACAGCGTCCAGGTGATGCTGAGGGTGTATGGAGCTGGGGACAGCGTCCAGGTGATGCTGAGGGTGTATGGAGCTGGGGACAGCGTCCAGGTGATGCTGAGGGTGTATGGAGCTGGGGACAGCGTCCAGGTGATGCTGAGGGTGTATGGAGCTGGGGACAGGGTCCAGGTGATGCTGAGGGTGGAGGTGGGGACAGGGTCCAGGTGATGCTGAGGGTGGAGGTGGGGACAGGGTCCAGGTGATGCTGAGGGTGTATGGAGCTGGGGACAGGGTGCAGGTGATGGCTGAGGGTGGAGGTGGGAACTGAACCTGTTAGTCAGATTCCAGAATTCAGTTTTAAATAATCACTTTTGACTACTTAAAACAGGTGCTACCTCATTATTCAAAATTTCAGGTCCCTCTAATTACATGTGGGTAACCAGCCTTCCAGTCCATCCTTTCTGTGTGATCTCATAAGACTCAAGTTGTTAGCTTTGGGTAAGAATTTTGTGTTTTTTTTTTTTGTTTTCTCTTTAGTAATTTGGTTCCCCAAATCAAGAGAAGGAACTATCTAGGCTATCAAAGTAAACTATGAGCATTTTTGCTGGGGAAGGAAGGCTCAGTGTGGACAGGGACTCAGTCTGCCTGTCAACTAGAGTCATTTAGAGGGGTAGCAGAAAGAAGGTGGGGGCCTCCACTTACAAAGAGAGGAACTCTAAGAACTTCTGGGGTTCAGAGTGCATTTTCCTCACGCTCTGCTGAAGATGAATGTGGCCATGCTCACTGGGCACTCAGAAGGTGGTGGCAGTGCAAATGATATGCCCTTGTGTAGGGCTTCAACTTCCCTGCAGCAATAGCCCCCAAACAGACACTGGGAGCTTAGGAGATTTTGAATAAGAGGAGCATTTGAGGTGCCTCAATTTTAGGCATGTAGAAAGTCTGAGAAGCTACGTCAAATATCTGAGTTGAGAATGGTTGAGGAACTTACCCATAGGAGGAAGTGCTAGAAGACAAAACACAGAAGACACATCAGTGGCCAGCTTCAAACCCCCAAAGAACCCACCTTCCAGCAGCCTTTCTCTAGGAAATTATTTGTGCTTTTGTTTGTGTGTTTAGTCTGTGAAAGAAAGCGTGTGCCTCATGCTGGGACGCTCTAGACGGCCAGGTGGAACTGCAGGCAGCTGGGAGCCACCTGGCGTGGGTGCTGAGAACGGAACCCAAGCCTTCTGAAAAGCAGAGCATTCTTGGCCACAGAGAAGACCACCCTGTCCCACTGAGCTGAGAGACACATCCTCAGGCTAGTGATGTCGGTCCTCCCTGGGTCTAAGTGAATGCATCCCCTGCCTTCCCTTACTCTCCCACAAGTCCCTTTAAATCCCATTTTCCTGACTGACAGTCACGATCATCATCGTGTCTTGATGTGCACATTTTGTCAACCCCAGGGTATTTCTCATCTTAACATCTTAAGTGAAAACAGTTTGATAGCACAGCACAGAGAAAGCCAGTCCCATTATGGCAGACTATACCAGTGGTTCTCACCGTCCTGAAGCTGCAACCCGTTAACACAGTTCTTCATGTTGTGGCAACCCCAACCATAGGATTATTTCCATTGCTACTTCATAACTGTAATTTTGCTACTATTAGAACTGTAATGTAAATGTTTTTGGGAGATAGAGGTTTGCTAAAGGGGTCGTGACCCTAAGGTGAAAAATCCCTGGACTGTGGTGGCTCTTCTATTAGTAACTGAATCAGACAAAATGCTGTATTTTACTACAAAAGGAAAATAGACAAGAAGGATCCAAACTGAAATAAGAAGGAACCACTTAAGACAGAATGACTCTTTCAGATGGAAGGGTTTCCATTTCAACAAGATTTTGCAACATAAACTCAAGGGTGTTAATCCCAGGAACAGGGAAGTGATACACACTTACTGAATTTTCCCGAACTGTCCACTGAAAGACATAAAGGCAAACACATCATCAGTCAGTGGGGATCCTCCCTCCTTCCTGACCTCCAAGCCCCTACATTGGATAGAATCCATGTCATTGCTGTCTGAGTCCCATTGGGTTAAATGTGGGACACTTCGGTTTCCTATGCAGCTCAGTTCTTTGACATAAAAGATTGTATGCCCCGTCTTCACTAACCTTAATCATTTTTTAGTTTTGATTTGAAATGGGAGATCCTTAGGCTAGTGTAGGGGTTTTCCACTGGCTTAATTTCAAGACTGTGTCTCAGAAAATACTGAAGGCGGAGTGATGGGAGAGACACATGGTCAGGGCAGGCAGACAGATAAAATGATTTAAACTTACACTAGAAAACGTGGAAGAAAAGGGATGGAGAATTATTTATGTCCATGAGTTCGGCGGTCAGAGGTCAAAAGTGCCAGTGCAAGCAGAGACCAAGGATGCTACCCACACGGAGGGAGTTTGAGGGGCGAGACCTGGACTTACCCGAGCCTATCGGTGCAAACACTTAAAAGGAAAAGGAAAAAAAAAAGATTGGTTTTAAAATAAATTACGCACTCAGTTCCCATCCAGACCCCACTTGTAACCCTAGAGGAAGGACTTAGTCAGACAGTTCTGTCCTCCAAGAATATTCTCCCTTCTCACAGCCAGTGACTTAGAAACCCTCATCATCTTCATGGCCTGTGGGACCAGTTTTAGGAGTAATGGACATCTTTTTTCCTTCACAAAATGAAAAAAAAAAAGATTCTTAGCCAAAGCAAAGTGTCATGACTTTGAGGAGACTGGCAGGGTCCTACCATGAGCCCCTTCTTCATGGCCTTGTTCTATGTATACTCAGGAGCCTGTCAACATGCTCTCCATACAGTAAACTTGTCTCTAAACTTTGGTTACAGTTTGTATTTAACAGTCTCTGGGGTTGAATGAGAATTCTAAAGCTGGTTTGGGAGGAGCTGTGATTGAGGAAATACTCTAGATATTTTGGGATTAAGAAATAAACCACATTTCTTTATAGTTAAAGATTTCTAAATAGGTGTGTGTCTCTGTGTGTGTGCCTGTGTGTGTGTGTGTGTTGTTGGGGGGGGGGACTTCTTGGAGTCTCTGGGCCTTCCAAAAACTTCCCACCACTTAAGATTTAGGGCTTGGACTTGGGTTGCTGGCTCAGCGGCAAGCGCCTTTCTCCATGGTGTCTATTCTGTTCTTTACCTTCCGTCATGCCCTGCAAGGCTCCCATTGCTCAGTACAGTTTATCTTTATTTCAAAACTGCATCAGTTGTCTTTAAGATTGCTCTGGGTTTTGTGATAAGCTCATGCCATGACTGAGGAAAAGTCAGCAACTCCACAGCTTCCTAAGAACTGAGGGCAGCTAGAACCACAGTTCTGAATTGATCTTCAGCTGAGGGTGTGCGGTGGTCATGAGCAATGCCGGCTTGCTCTTCGCTCACAGGGCATTTAGGGATGAGTTGAAATACCGTCATTTGATAAAAGTGCTCTTTGTGGGTTAGGGAGGATATAGAGGGGAAGGTGGGTGGATTCGCGGGAGAATGGCACCCGGGCTGGGGCCATAGCTCCCCTTAGTGTCCTAAACAAAATTTGTCTTTAATGCTAGCAGGGTTTTATCATTTGATTAAAACCCCAATTCTCTCACAACCACAAAGTGCTTGCAGTAGGTCATGTGTACCCAGAGAGCACACGACTGCACACTGGAGGACTAACCACTCCAGGTCTCAGGTGCCACGCCACGGTGTGTAAAGTGTGGCCGGGAACAGACCGGCTAGTGGAGTGGCGGGATTGTCACCTTGACCATGTCACGTGAAAAGCTAAGACTGTGCGGTGGGACAAACGTTTCCTAGGAAATGTGGGAGCGGCAGGTTCTGAGTTCCGTGGTGAAGGATTTCTCTTGAAAATTCTCCACTAGGAATTATGCTAAAGAGGCCCTGGAGAGACAGCGCCCATATTTAGGGTCACTCCCAAAATGCAGGCCCCTGGACCCTCCTGAACCTCATAGCACACTGGCCTGCTTGTATTCTAAAGGACTAGTCATGTATGAAAGCAGGATTTCTACCAAAATAGCGTCAGCACTAATCAGTCCTGAAGTTCTCTCTGCATTAAGTGACCAGCGCCATGGAGGGCCCTAATGTCCATCTGTCGTCTTCATTCCATTTACCCCCTGCTGGCCAGTCATTGTGCATATTAGACAGAAAATTCTCCAGTACTTAAGGGGTTCTAGACAACAGAGAAGGAAGGGAGCTTGGTAAACATGAATTCAAAATCCTTTCCATCTAGGAAAGGCTTTAAACGATACTGAAATGTAGAGTAGATGGATAAATAACTTACCAAAAATCACGGGAGTAACTGGCAGGACAACATGAAACAAAAACCATATTAGCAGAATATTTGGAACAAGCTCTAGTCTCTTTCCTTGTTTTTTTTCTCCAAGAGTTAACCATTGCTAGCGTTTCTGCTGGTGTCAGACCTCCCCCAGAGCTACCTGTGATAAGAGGTGGGGCATATTCTAATGAGGGGACTGGTCTGCTGTGACTGCAGTCCCGTGTAGGGCTCCCTTTTCTTCCCTTCTAGAAGGAAGGCTAAGGCAGAGCAGTCAGCAAGCTGATGCTGGCTGCACTCACTCCCCTCCTTCCCCTCCCTCAGCCTATGTGCCGTGGGCTCCTCTGGGCTATCTCTGTACCTGGCGTAGCATCCTCCGTAGCTTTTCTTCTTGATAGAAGCAGGAAAATTTTTATTTCTTATGGAAAGCCATTGGCGAGCTGGAGAGATGGCTCAGTGGTTAAGAGCACTGGCTGCTCTTTCAGGGGGCCCTTTCTCAGCACCCACATGGCATCTTACAACTATCTGTAACTCTAATTCCAGAGGGTGTGACATACGCACAGGCAAATTGCCAATGTTCATAAATAAATTACAAAACCAGGAGAAGCAAAGCCGTTGGCAGGTTGTTCGGGGATTTTTCAGTCGAGCGTTAGTCTTTCCAGTAACAGATTGCTCACTAAGAGGGCATGCTTGGGGTAGTCATGAATAGAAGCATCCCACCGAACAGAGATCGGCCAGGACAGCATTCTCTCCACTGTGGGCATCCCTAATTCTATGAGATGGATGAAAAGAAGATGCACTTGCAGATAGGCACTGCTCCACGGGCTAACATCCAAACACAGACAGTTTGTGTAGGCTGACACTGTCAACGACACCAGCAGAAGTCTAACGGTAAGGTCTGTCCAGACAGGGATTCTGGGCTGAGAAGAGACCCTCCCCGCCCTTCAGAACGAGAGGCTGCCGTATATTTTTCCTACACTAACTCAGTCATTTTGGAAGGGTGAAAAGGAGACGAGTCATTTTCCTTTCCTTTTGTTATCCGGTTCCTCTGCACAGGCTGGGCAAACTCCGTTTCTCGGGCTTTTGCCCCCAGTTTTGTTGCTCTCTCGGGACTTTTTCTGCTTCCCCTATCCTCCTCACCTCTGTTATTTGTGGAAGAGTCTGGACAGTGAACTCAGGAGATGCTTACCCAGCTCTAGCTTGTATTTGCCAGTTTCACTCCATTTAGTCAACAGGGGCAGAGCTCTGTGAATCCCGTGCAATCGGGAGCACCCTAGTGCTGCTGCTGGAGGTAACAACAACAGCAGTGACCTGTGGCGTCTCACGGGAGTCCTCTTCTGCTTTAGTCCCCCTCTCTGAGCACTTATGTGTCGTGGCGTGCACATGGGGGTCTGAGGACATCTTGTAGGAGTGTGAGTCTTCCTAAGTGTGTAAAACTTGTTTGACTCTAGCAAGACATTCTACTTACCAGGAATATACCGTCATGTTCATGTTTCTGCTAGTCCACTGTTCCCTAAGAGATCCTGGTACTCAGGAGACTATGTAATCTACCCTAACATGGAGACAGACACGCCTGCCCTGAGCAGGGGCCGTACTTATCAAAGGGGAGCTTTCTTAGAGTCGCTGTAGTTGGTAAAGCCAGCAGAGAGAGCACGATGCACACGGCTGCTCTCCAGTGAGGGCAGAGACACACCAAGTTCTAAGAGGATTTGTTAGCGCTCAGAAGAAGGAGCTTTTCTTTTTCTCTCAACTTCCTTGGACATGAAACGTCATAAATGTTCAAATGCACAAGTGAACTCTGGAGGAATGAGCTTTTTTTCTATCTTGGCCCTGTTGTCCTTCCCCTGGCCCTCCACTATTTTTTATTTTTTATAAATGAGTAACATCTCAGTTGACTTAACTTGCTAATTCAGTTTGATTTCTTCTATCTCTTACTTTCTTTTTGTTTAAAAACCCCAATTATCTATTAACTCTAACAAGAAAAGCAGCGGGTGACATTTCCCATAGGGGACAATTTGTGAAAGCTGTCCGAAGCAGCAGGAAGACATGCTGGCGTCCTGCAGTAGGGGCGGCAGCTTCCAACAAAGGCTAGCAGCTGTGCACTGAACAAGAAGGGATGCTGCTCGGAGATGAAGGTGCTGGATGCGCTGGCAGCACATCACAGACACATGACAGAGGATACTTAGTAGCTCGTCAGTGCCAACATTATCATGTCATTGCAAATAAGAACAAAATAACCCAACTAAAAATATTCAAAAGGCGTAGATCTGACTTCAAGGTGCCTTCAGGCAGCTCATGGTCTGACTTGTTACCGGCAGGGTTTTCAGTTACCGGTGACTTTAGAGGAAGCTGTGTGATATGAAACAAGAGAGACAGCGGGTGTAGGAACCAACCCAGGATGGGCGGGCAGACATGGCACTTACTTGGGTCTTGTCTCACTGTGAAAAGAAACAGATAGATAAATGACCACAAGTTTCTGGATGAAGAACACAGCTACTTCTTTTTTTTTTTTTTTAAATTTATTTATTTATTAAGGATTTCTGCCTCGTCCCCACAACCGCTTCCCATTTCCCTCCCCCTCCCCCGATCAAGTCCCCCTCCCTCATCTGCTCGAAGAGCAATCAGGGTTCCCTGACCTGTGGGAAGCCCAAGGACTGCCCACCTCTACAGCTACTTCTTAAACGCTGCGACAAGTTCTAGAGAAGGCCAGTGAGGGCTTGCCACGTCAGCGCCCTTCAAATGCTCTGGCGGCTCTGAACTGAGGCGCCTTTTGGAGAGACGAGTGTCTCTGGAAAAGGTCATTTCCCCCCGATTTCTCCCCGGTCTCCCCAGACAGAAGTTTGAAAATTCACTGCTAAGAATTTTACATCCCTATCCTTTCCTTACCCCTCTTTGGAAAGACTGTGTTCAACTGTGATATTTTTATTAGAGCTCAGCTGTTCTTAGGTTCATTTTCGTGAGCTCTCTCCTCTTCTTCCATAAGCATAAATATTTCACAGGAGTGGGGTTGGGGGTCCATTGTTTCTCAGAGAGTCAGCTAAGGAGACCTAGTCTGAGTGACCATGGTAGTAGATATGGAATTCCTCCTGTGTATGTTAGGAAATGACTTATGTGATACAATGTATATTCATATATTAAGTACTGAGTTTACTGCTTGGCACAAGCTAAATACCTAATAAATAGTTATCATCACAGTACCACACCAGGTACTAAGCAACTTCAGTTATGACCTCCAAATGGCTACGGAGAGTTGAGAATGAAGCCAGCTGCTGGGAACAGGAGTGGGGAATTCGGAAACTAGGGATTCTAAAAAGCCAGTAAGGCAGAGAGTCAGAAATAGAAATGTTGGGTCTTGGTGCATTCACAGGGTTGACATGGGGACTCGTCGACAGGAAGTTAAAAACAATACAATTGAGGAAAACGCAGGACTTACGTATTACAGGTGGTCCAGGTCTTGCTTTAATGAAAAAGACAAAAACGTTAGTATAGTTTCCGATGAGACAGAATTATCTGTGCACATGCATGACTGCTAGATGACTCTTGCAAACTGACTCAGAGGGGGAGGTTCAGCGGGCTCATTTGGTCTCTGGATCACTTAGTTAAAGTCCCATATCCCAAGCTGTGTTGAGCTGAGCTGCCTTCTTGACCCTCCACGGTCATTTGTCATTTGATGCTCACTTGTGGGCATCAGAGGACAGTCCGTGGGAATTGGTTCTTTCCTTCCACCATGTGAGTCCCAGGATGGAATTCAGATCATCAGGCTTGGCAGCAAGTGCCTGCCTTGCCTCTGAGCCACCTGGTTAAATGTGAATGCCATTTCCCTGAGTGTGGGCACACGTTTTTGTTCATAGATGGCAAAGCAGCGGTGTTCTTAGATGTGAGTCTGAACTTACACTGTCTCAGGCTCCGTGACAGGGTTGCTGTGGGCTAGAAACCTGTGTCTTGTGAATTCCAGGCTCTTTGAGCCGCTGGGTTTCTCCTCTTCCGAGAACTGCATCCGTGGCTGCAAAGGGCTTCAGTTCTGGAAGTGGGATGCTTTCAGATCTCACCAGGGACAGAGGAAAGCACAGAGGGTTGTTCTCATCGCTAGTTACCCCCTCCTCTGTCTGAGAAACACAGAAGGTTGGATCTTCTGCAGGTGCCCAGTTTTTCCAGGACTGCCTCCTTGGGGTGTGATTGCTTTGTTTGGTCTCTTATTGATTTGAGAAATAAAAAAAAAAAAATCCCACATTCAAGCTAATGGCGCAAGCACCGATGGTCACCGCCTGTATGAAAACTTCTATCACACTTACGAGGCGTTTGTTTTGAGAAAAAGCTGTGATCTACCACACACCCTGCCCTGCATCTCTGCCTTCCCATCAGAAAGTCCCTGTCTCCGGGACCTTCTCCAGGGAGACCCCTGTCCTGTCAAAGTCAGCAACGACTTCCACTTTGCAAACTCTAAGTCATATTCTCTCCAGCTCGGGAAGGTGGTTCTGTGGGACCCATGGTCCTCTGCTACTGTCCACTCCATCACTCCATGTCTGCGCCTAGATCTTCCTTTTGTGTCTAAAACGGGCTGTCTTCAGCCTGGTCCTTGGCTCTGCATCGTTGTGTACACCTCGGATGATCCAGTTGACTCCAGTCTGCTTCTTACTCTTTCCATGTCGGCTGTTCCTTTATATCATCATTGTCGTCGTCATCACAGACAGCTCCCGTCTCTGGAGTGGTGGGATTGTAGGCGTGAGCCACTCTGCTTGACTGCCCCGTGGCTCACGTATTATCTGTTTGCTAATTAACTCAGATTTATTCCTTGCTGCGTTTTGCTCCGAGTCTTCGGATTCAGACAAACACCGTATGTGTCCACAGAAAGAAGATCTTTAGGCAGAAGAGGGTGTGGGATCCCCTGGACTGGAGTCATGAAAGATTGTGAGCCATCATGTGGGTGCTGGACATGAACTCAGGTCATCTGCAAGAGCAGTCAGTGCTCTTAACCACTGAGACCATTCTGAAGCCTCCACTACATTTTAAAATCTCAAAATATAATCTTGAGTGAGGAGACGTGGAGTCACCAGATCGGCACCAGTGCGTAGGACCACGACTGGGCAGAGCAGACCAATAGATATTACATATATATCCTGCAGCGTGTCTCATCTGTGTCTGCCAAGCCTGCTAACTCTGACATACTTGAGAATAAGTAATGTCTTGTCTCAGTCCTCTTCAGATTGATCAGTTTCCTCCTAGGTTTGTTCTAGTCCTGTAAACCAGCGCATGCCTCGTGTTTGTGCTTAAAGCCAGACGAGACTGCGCTGGTGAAGAGGAAGACGGCGTAGTTCCCAGGTGCCTTTGGCATGCCTTTATGCCATCATAAACCCCATGTCCCGGCTTTTGCATGCCTTCTCTGCCTAGTGTTCCTGAAGCCTCCACCAAAAAGAGTATTATTTGTTCAGTTTGGATTCCAGCTTTTCATTTCCAGTGGCCAGACCTTCTGCTTACTTCAAGTGACCTGTGTGTGTTCCTGTTCCCAGCTGTATGTGGGTCTGTGATGGTTCTCTTCTTTATCAACTTGATTGATTTAGAATCAGGCAGGAGACACACTTCTGGGTGTATGTAGGAGAGTGTTTCCAGGTAGCTTTTTTCCCCCTAAATTATATGTCAGGGTGTGGGTGTGTGCACAGGAGTGCAGGTGTTTTGGGGCTTTGGATCTCTTGGAACTGGAGTTTCAGTGGTATTGAGCCACCAGATGTGGGTGCTGGGAACCAAACTCTGGTCTGCTTCAGTATTAACAACACTGTCTTTCAACATAAGAGAGGCAGCTCTCCAGCCTGCAGGATGTTTCGGGGAGGGAAGACCGCTCCTGAATGTGGGTGGCACCTGCCATGGGCTAGGTCTTGGACTGAATAAAGAGAGGAGGAAGTGTGTTGTCACCAGCATTTGTCTCTGCTTCCTGACTGCGATGCAGTGTGACCGGCTGCCCCACACCCCTGCTGCCCTGCCTTTCTTTCCCGGCATGTCCAGATACCCTTAAATCCTTTCCTAGGGCATCTGACTATACTTAATCCTTTCCCGGCATGCTAAACTACCCTTAAATCCCGAGCCACAACAAAGCCTTCTTCCTGAAGATGCTTTCTGTCACAACAGCAGCGGCTGATACCTAATCTAGGACACTTGGAGTTTCCAGCTCTGTTCTTGGTCCTGGGTCATGATGCTATGTTCATCGTGCAGTGGAAACTGGCCAATCTGTCTGTCTGTCGAGGAATACATGTGGGTGGGGACTTCAGAGAGGCACTAACATGTTCTATCAATAGCATCTATTCCAATCCATCAAAGCAGCCCCTTGGTCCTAACACTGAAACCACTACATTCTACCAGCAGAAAGGACTGGGGCCCGCTTGTGTGGAAGCAGAGGTCTGCAGTCTACCAGACGGGTTCAGACACACAGCATGGTTATAGATGGGGACATTTTCACCCCAAATGTGGATTAAGTCATCTGCTTTGTCAACTCTCTATCTGCATCTTTCTTCCTTCCTTTCTTCCTTCCTTCCTTCCTTCCTTCCTTTCTCCTTCTTTCTTCTTTCTTTCTCCTCTTTCTTCTTTTCTTTCTTTCTTTCTTTCTTTCATTCTTCACGAATCGATAGGCTGGGAGGAGCAGCCTCTTTAGACCCTGCAGCCTCCTGATCCCACTTCCCGTAGCCTCTTTAGACCCTGCAGCCTCCTGACCCCACTTCCCGCAGCTCAGGTCTTCTGGGCACACTCACTTATAGTCCCCCTTGAGCATTCTGAGTTTTTAACCTTGACAAGAACTCAGCATTTTAAGCTCAGCACGAGGAACAGGTGGGGATGTTGCAATAGACTCAAGAGATAGCCCTTGAATTCTGCGGTCACCATCAACATTCCATCTGCAAGTTGGGTGGTGGTAGCCAGGCCTTTAGCTCCAGCACTCCGGGAGGCAAAGGCTGCCTGTGAGTTCAAGGCCAGCCTGCTCTACAAAGTGAGTTCCAGGACAGGCTCCAAAGCTACACAGAGAAACCCTGTCTTGAAAGCCACAAACAAACAACAACAAAAACCAAAACCAAAACGAAAACCAAAACAACAAAATTTGATTGGTGTTCAGTATAGTCTCAGATAGCATCTGGTATCTGAAGGTGTGTGTTGCTAACAGAAGGGGGGGGGGTCTGTATCTGGGACCCCTGCTGGCTGCCGTGTAGTTGGCCTCAGGACCTTGTGAAACGTGAAAGCAACTGGACATGAGAAACAGCAATCTCAATTTCTAGCATTTAGAGGTGAAATCAGCTAAGCCTTGAAAACCCCCACATACCCCAGCAGAAAAGTAAAGAACTTACTTGTGGTTCTCTGTGAAATTACTAGGAGAGAGAGAGAGAGAAAGAGAGAGAGAAATCCATTTATTTTTCTTAACTAGAACCAACACAGAACTCTCTAATGGTTTTGATGGTGTCTGCGAGGGGATTACTCAGCTAAAGAGCAAGGATGCATTCAAAACAACTCCATGCAGATTAGCTCAAATTTAAATGCGAGATTAAGTAGTGGTGAAGAGGTCAGGGCAGAATGCCTTCAGGTCCCCTCATCATTGGGTTACAGACTTGCCTGAGACTGGGGGACTTTGTATTCCTGCCTACACCAATATTCTCTTGCTAGAAAAACTTCTGCCTATGTCTGCTACTTCGTAGCGATTTTAGATTGATCTTTGCAGACCCATGCTAGCTCGTTACTTCTTTGTATCCTGTTATGCAGTTATGTTTGGTGCAGGAAAGCTGGACCGGAACAAGAGGGAGAGTCTCGGCAGAGAAGAGAATCAAATCAATCGGTACTCACTTATGGGCGTTGCAGACGGGCCTGAAAAGTAAGAAGAGCTGTGAGAGGCACATCTGTGATGTGGGCAGCTTAGCAGGGTACAGCGCTAGTCTTGAATTAGGTCCGATGACGATATTCTCGGGTAAAGAGTTGGCCTCAGTTTCCTATCCACTTCACTATCATAGGAATTCAATGAGACGGTGCAACTGAAAAGACGTTAGTTCGTACGGGAGGGGGACGCGGATACAGCCTTGGGGCCAGGTTGGGCTGGAAGACAAAGGCAAAGGGAACTGGGGGTCACACATCTCAGGTGTCTGCACACAGGGCAGAAATGGGCTGGGCACACAATAACAACATTGGACAACAGAAGGAAACCAGGTAGAACTCACAGTTCGGAACCGATGAGGAACGACCATCTGTAAGACAGAGAAGGGGCTCAGTGCTTCTGTGCTGCACAGGTTTGTCTCTGTTTAGAGCTCTGTCTTGATGGGAGATTAAGCACCCTTTGGTCCCGCCTGGTCCCCATGCCTTAGCAGACCCGCGCTTTCTGAAGGGGCTCCATGATGTCAAGGCTTCTGATACAAGAAGGCAGGTAGTTAAAGTCATATGTCCCCTAAACCCAGAGACCTTAGGAGTCAAAGAGAGGAGAGCTTGGGGCTCCC